GAGAGAGAGAGAGAGAGAGAGAGAGAGAGAGAGAGAGAGAGATTTTGTTTCATTACCTGGAGAGTCTCATGTCTTCCAATCCAGCCCTTAATCCTCCTTTACAATCCTGAAATGTTCATTCAGCACCTGTTCAGAATGCCTGCCATTTTTGCTTATAAATTCCCCAAATTAAATTCCTTTGACCCAGACAAGTGAATAACAAAAGCCAAACTCCTTTAAGAAAATAAATGTCAAGGACTAATGACAAAAAAAGAAATCTAGATCTCAGCTGCAAAAACATAGTGAAGACTCTCTCATGGGAAATTCTGTGCTGAATGAAACAGGATCAAAATATATCAATAGTTGATCATTGATTGATGTTTCTGCCTTGTATCTAAAATGCTGTGTATGCAATTTTATCTGTTTGCTATATATTTTTAGGGAACTATCTCTTGTGTGGGAAATGTCACAGTAATTTAAGAACAAACAGAATCATAAACTGCAAATTCATTTTGAAAGTAATAGAAAAAATGTTTAATTGCCATCCTTTATGTAATCGCTACACTAAGCGATTTTACATGTAGTTTACATGAATTCAGGCCCTTCCAAATGTGTTATATCTTCTATGAATACTATTTTTGTTAATGATATAAGCAAATAAACAAGACAGTAGACTCAGTAGGAAAATAGATTTTGAAAAGCATTTATGTTCACATTTGGAAACTGAAGCCTTGGTCAACCATGAGAGTTGTAACCAAGCTAACCAATGTACATCTCTATTTGTCAAGTGGCTTGGTTCCGGTGGGCTTCGGTAGACACCATCACGCACCTCTGCGGCAGTAGATGCCGCAAGCACCCTGCAGTCCTGCAGCTGTTCAGAGACCATTGTGAGGTGGGAAATTCAAGTGCAGAGCTCAACTTTGCAAATGCTGGTGTAATAAGCCAAGGCCAAAATGACCAAATCCCTTAAATGTCTTCCTTGCAGAAAGAAATTCAGTGTTTCTGGTACTTGGGTTGCACATCTGTGATAAACACCCACAAAGGCTAGCCACAGACACCTTAATGACCTATTCTGCAGTGGAATTTGACAAAATTTGCAAGATAGCTTCAAGTTTCTTGGCAGCCATATTCCAAGCTATACATGCCAGGAATGAATTGATGTTAAAATTCCACAGGCTTCGTGTGTGTGTGTGTGTGTGTGTGTGTGTGTGTGTGTGTGTGTGTGTGTGTAGGTAATGGTGTGCCATTTAATGGTAGATACAGGATTAAAAGTAACTACAAATGAATTGAGAAAATGTTTGCCAATTGTAAGTGTTTAAATATCAAAAACACCAGTCTCAGTGAGAAATAGCTATTACTTTCTACCCTGTTCTTTTATAAAGACAGAAATTTTATGGATGTCTGTAGGTCTGAGAACAGCACCACCCCCCATCCCCACCCCAACCTTCCCACCTCCCCATAAGGCTGTCCTAGCCTTCCAATTCTCTTCCTTCCCCACTCCTTTAAGGGTCAGAATTGATTGAGAAGAGTCAAATCCTATGAAATAAAATAAGATTCCCTCTTAGTGGTATAGAAGGTGGTGTGGGCGCCCCTTGGTAAATCCGGGAATCTCATTTTCTGCATCTGGAAATGGGCCCGTGATATTTTTCAGTGTGTTGTAACTGAGATAGTAATGACGCAAGACTGTGAATGATTAATTATTCATGTTGTAGGAAGGAAGCTGAGGTGTCGGGCATATGCTGCGGAGGCCTTTGTTTCTAACTGGAGTAAAGAGAGGAGAGAAGGAGGACAGAGAGAGAGGGGGAGGGGAAGAGAGAGAGAGAAAGAGAGGGGGAGAGAGAGGGAGAGAGAGGAGGGGGGAAGGGGAGGGAGTAGTGAAGTGGCAACCAGGGTAGAAGATTGGGAAGTGTTTGACAGGGTACTAGCATCCTACCCTGGGTCGGTCCAGTGAGGGGAAGGATCGAGGAGGTGGTCCTCAAGCAGCTGCACCTGAACAGAGTTGCCTCTGGTCCTATCAAGCCCCTGAGTTGTTGGAAAGGGCCCACAGTAGCCTGGATGAAAGCACCTAGGAGCCCCGAGAGCATCCTGAGGAAGGCATTCCTTTTCCAACCCCCTCCCTTTCACCCTGATGACCTCCAAAGTTAGGTCCAGGGGGCCTGTGTGTGAATGGAGACACAGAAAGGTGACAGAACTGGGGTTCACTGAGTTAGGCCTGAGAGTATGAAGGTGTAGGTGTTGTTGACCAGGGAGGAGGGCAGGAGAGAGCGTAGAATTTCACAGAACTGAAGAGATCCAAGGCTCTGTATTGCCCGCATTCTAACTCGTCAGCACGAAAGAGGTCAGAGCCCAACTCCCCAGCTCCTGAGGGTTGAGGAAATCGAATGCGGGAGCTTAGGACATCTTTGTCCCCTACACTATCTGGGGGAGGTGCCTAACCTTAGGCCTCCTTGCCTCTTAATCTGACGTGCAGGGTGCTGGAGAAGAAGCAAGACACCCGGGAGACCATCGAGCTGACAGAAGATGGCAAGCCCCTGGAGGTGCCTGAAAAGAAGGCTCCTCTGTGCGACTGCACCTGCTTCGGCCTGCCCCGCCGCTACATCATAGCCATCATGAGTGGCCTCGGCTTCTGCATCTCCTTTGGCATCCGCTGCAACCTGGGTGTGGCCATCGTGGACATGGTCAACAACAGCACCATCCACCGCGGAGGCAAAGTTATTAAGGAGGTGGGCATTGCCCAAGCCCCAGAGGGGGCTCCCTCCGCTGGCCACTCACCTGTCTAAGAGTCTTTTCCCCACTGAAAGCGGAAGGTTTGCATACTGTCTAAACCTTCCCTCTGTCCCGCCATTCTAGTAAGGACCACTAGAGTGCTATTATCTCCCTTTTTCCGCTCTGATCCCAGCCTTTCCTCCCTTACTTGCAAGGCGTAAAATAGTGTCTAGCTTACTAGATTTTGTGTAAAGAAAGACCAGCTGAGAGCTAGCAATGTCTGCTAAATCTAAAAAGAAACATTTTTCTTTTACTGGAAAGTGTAACATTATACAGCATTCCCCTGGTGTCATTCAGATCACCCTCCTCCCTGGAAAATACAAACAAACAAACAAAACAAAACCCAAAACCCGTATTTAGTTATCAAACTAAAACAAACAATAAGTCCTGCAGTCAAATCAGCATTTGTATATCAGGCCTTTGGGAAAGCACAGGGCTCCTACTGAGAGAGAAGCTCCTGGGTAGGGAACCTCGCGTTCACTAGAGTGCACGCTGCGGTAATCTTAAAGTGTGTATTCCACAGTGATGCCTGAGGGCGAGGATGAGCTGAAGGTCACAGAAATCTTTCTGGGAAAAGCAATATAAAGCTGCTTGGTTTGGTCGCAGAACTTGGAAACACTCTGAGGAGCCGAATTCGAGTCCTTGGACCCCCTGGAACCCAGGATACCCAGAAATTTTCCATTGCAACAAAGGAAAATGGCATTCCCAGTTTCCCAGGCAAGGCAAAAGCTTGGACTTTTACAGTAACTTGCGAATATTTGGCTCCAGTTTCTTGAGAGGCTCATCTTGTGCTGTGGACCAGTGTGGTCTGGGTGGAGTCAGGACTTGACATTCACACTGCTCTGAAACAGAACCTTAAACAGTGCCCTCACCACCACCACATAACTTGTCCAAACTCCCTGGGAGACTGTCCCCAAACCTTTTTGTCCTGCTCACCCAGATTTGGTGGGCGGGGGAACCTTTCCAACCCCTTCTAGCCTTCTTTCCCTTGCGAGCGTCTTGCGGGTTGTATTACATTCTGGGAGTCAGTCCACTACTGCATTCTTACGGGTTGGCAACAGCCAAAAGGACCTTAACCAATATTCTTTTGGGAGAGTCCGACTGTCTGCTTCTAAGATTCCTCCACCAATTGAGGAGGTCCCAGGCTCACTGACAGCAGTCCAGTCCGCAAGGAAGCCCGAGAGCCAGTACTTCATTGTGAATCACAACACCTTTTTAAAAGGAGACCCTCTTGTCGGAAGCAATTTTGTTACAAAACGAAAATTAAGCCCCTGACCTAAGTATCGCAGAAAATGCTCTACATGTTTAAAGGTTCATGGCACACAAACCACCGAAAGGGAATTGTGTGCACTGACTCTGCCTTGCCCCCCCCCCTGACCTGTTGTTTCTTTGTGGTTCTCCTCTGTTCCTACAGAAAGCCAAATTCAACTGGGACCCTGAAACCGTGGGGATGATTCATGGCTCGTTCTTCTGGGGGTACATCATCACCCAGATCCCGGGTGGATATATCGCATCGCGGCTGGCTGCCAACCGGTAATACTATGAGAGTCTGTGGTTGGGTCTCCCCGCTCGCTCGCGTTAGCGCGGGTTCCAGACCTCTCTAGGGAATTTGGAAACTCCCCGGGGGCGTCTCCTAGTCTCTGGACACGCCTTCTAGGCCGTAGCGCTGCAGGCTGCGCCCTCCCGAGCTGAAAGGGCTCGGGTTCTTCACGACCTTCGCACCAGCGTAGGCCACTCTAGGCCACTCCAAACAGGCTTGTTAGAGAAGCAGCCCCAGTACCTTAGAGTAGGGTGCACGCGTGGGGGGATGGGGAGAGTTGGGGGTGGTGCGGTGTCTGTGTTGGATACTGCAAAAATGAGGCAATGCTCTAAGGAGCACAGGTGGGAGGGAAGGGGAGTGCCCAGATAGCTGACCCTTGTGGTGCGGACCTCCGACAGGGCGCGTGAAAGGCTAGCCCCCGACCCAGCCCATATGGTGTTGTGAGCCGGAAGGATTTGTTTCTATGGAGGCAGGCGGGATCTAGGGCTCCACGGGTGCGATTCCACCTGTTAATGAGCTTTGTGCTTAGGGGCGGGAGTGAGCTGAGCGGCTCAGCTGTGTCCCGCGGCCTCCGGCCTTCAAGCCTGCAGCGGTGGCGGGAGCCGAGGTCCTAGGGCCAGCTTTCAGGGAGCACCCCTCCTCCAAGATCCACCTACAGAGACGTCCGCTGCATAAAGACATGTGGGTGGAGATACCAAGGAGCAGGGCATGACGACCGGAGGACGAGAGAGATTTCTGCTTGCTTTACTGAGTGTATTTTAATGAAAAATAAACCCAACAAAACTAAACCTCCCTCTTCGGGTCTGAACCCAGGCTAAGCACTGTTTCCTCCCGGGCTCTGCGGCTTGCAGATCCCAAATAAAGATTCGGGGCCTTTCTTCAGAACCCTGGCGTGTAACATCTCCCCTCCTGCCCAACCCCAGTAAATGTTTGGGAACTGGAAGTGACCGGCACTTGCAAGTCAGCAACTAGGGTTCTTTCCATCCTGTCTTCTCCCCAGCACTCACCTGCATCTCCTGGCCCCATTCCCGTGCTTAGCCTCCAATGCAGCCGGAAGAGGCTGACGTCTCCAGGCCTTTAGTAGAATTCTTGGAATTTTATTTTAGGCATTTAGATGGTAAAATGAAGATCTCAGGGCGGCTTATCAAAATGCCAAAGGGAGAGCGCAATAGATTAGTTAGAATGTCTTTTCTACAAGGGGTGAGGACACCCAGCACTCCGACCCAGAAGGTAGCTTTCTTTCGGTAAAATGAAACAAGATTAAAAGATTAGCTAGGTAAAAAGCCCAGTTTTATGGGCTTAATAAGGAAAAATTTAGTATTAGGAAGAAATTTTTAAAGAAAATATTAAGTTCGTTGACGCTTAGTGATTAAGAACACCTAGCAACATTCTGGGTTTTCCCAAATCTCTAATAAATGGTTTCCCCCCAAATTATTGCTTAAAAAGATATATTTTCCCGAAAGATACTCTAAATATGTACATATGAAATATTTTTAAACCAGGAAAAAAATCAACAGGGAATTCACCAACAAATGAATCAACAAATAATTCCAAATGATATCAAAAAATCTCAACTCGATGTCATAATTACGATAGCCTTGCCTTTAAGAGTTGTGATGGTCTGAGTTCACCGCTTGCCAAAAGCTAAGGGCTAACATGCTCCTGCCAGGAAGGAACACCAAGGATTCCAGTCTTCCCCCTTTGTGAGAGCAGAAAGACAGGTTTTCCTGATTTCTTTTTCTTTTTCTTTTTTAATGCATACTTATTGCTTAAAATGACGAGCCGCTGACTAGGTAGCTGGGATGCTTTCCTCAAAGGAAAAACTTGGAAGCTTTAGAAGTCTAATTTGGGTCGAATTCTTGTTACCTTTAGACATATTTTCAAAAGAGAGACTCAATACCTCCAACCATGATATTTTAACCCTTCCAGCCTGAAAAAAAATGATAAATGTAGTAAACATGAAGACACAGATTTAGAGAGACCCGCACCCCAGAGTTTCGACACACTCTATTCAGTTTTCTAGCATAACAAACCTAAGCCTCGGTAAGTTTCCTGTGAAAATAGGTCAAAGTGCGTGGACATTTTTTTTTCTGCTGGTAAGAGCCTTATTGGCTCAAAAAGGGGAAGCAAAAACCTATCTTAAGAGAAGATGACCAAAATCATAAATAATGCAGCCACCCAGATGCGTCTGTTTTAAATATGTTTTGAATGTTCAGCTGGCGTTAGAAACTGTAAGTAGGATTTTTGTCCCAGAAGGCTTTCTACACACGAAAACATGAGACTCTTGTAGAACTGATTGGGAAAAATGAGTATCTCCTGTTATTTTCTCTTTCCAGAAATAGCAAAACACCACGGGGCAGGTCTCCGCGCCTAGAGACTTGCCAGCCTGTTCATTCACGCTGCTCCTCCTAGTAGGCTGAGATTCATTCCCCTGGGGCACCCGGAGCAGCTTCTTTTCCCTTTTGCTGCAAAGAGGCTCTTTGGAATGTGTTTGCTGTTGCTGTTAGGGGGGAAGGAGGTGTGTGGAGACAGCTCCTGGGGGTGGGAGGGGGCGGGGAGGTGCAGAAGGGCTCCTAACTCCGCTCTCCGCTCATTTCTCCACGGAAAACAAACAGCCCATTGGATGTCTCCATTTTGTTGATAAGTGACAACAGCTTCGCTCTTGGTCGGGATTCAGATGCTGGGTCATTTTATTGACCAAATTCTAAGTATTTTTCTGTCCTGTTCATTAAGAGGAGTTGCTGAGGGAGCCAGGAGGGAAGGAATTCGGTTCAATGGAGTACTTCTTACACTTCTCTCTGTTTTTCCTTGAGTCACCGCTCCTAGTGGTGGGAAGACTTTAGTCACCTCTATGGAGGGCTTTAAGGTTGGATTTCAATGGATTCCTTTTAAAATCTGCGACGTTTTAAGATGAGAACATATTTAAAACAGGGATAAAAATGTTGGAGCAAATTGATTTTCTTCTAAATAGTACAGGACACATGAGTCTCGGAGTAGTTTAGATGCTTACATATATGGCGCTGCCCAGGACTGTATTTGTCCTGTATCTAGGGTATTGTAAGGGGCCGTGGCACGTCATTAATTACAGGGACATAACAGGTTTTTGTTTGTTTGGCTGGTTTGTTTTTTTTTTTGGGGGGGGGATTGTTTGTTTGTCTGTTTGTTTTGCAAGACATAACTAAAAAAGGCCAAAGAAATTTGGTGGATATGTTTCAATGTTTAACAATGTAATTATACGTGCCAATATTATTGAAACACTTTTTAAAAGTTCCCCTACCTGTCCTATCCTTTCCATCTCTCGCCACAGTATACCCACCAGCAGGAGCACAGGCTATCTTCTTTTTCTCTTGGTCTAACACCTTCTCCCCCTCCCCATGGGTGTTAGCTACATCATTGCAGGGTCTTATCTGTGCTTCCTTTTGGTTTGTCTTTTATGCTGACATTGCTACCATCTTGAAGGTTGCATGACCATCATGCATCTTTGGCTAGAGAAATAAATCAAGATTCATTCTCCAGAGTCAAACCTTATGACTTCAAAATCCTGAATATGCTGCTTAATAACTTTGGGACACAAAAGTCTTCCCTCTTTTGTCTTCTTGTCAAAACCGAAGTACTGACTTCATTTTGCTGTTCTGGAAGCTAAACGAGAGGGTGCAGCAATATGTAATTGCTGGCTGCTGCCATTTGTTACTGACACAACCCTAAATTTAAAAAAAAAAATGAAGGAAGGAAATACTCTCCCATCATTGACCTTATTTGTCGCAAAATTCACTTTGGCTATTTCCACTGTGGCAGCAACATCCATATTCATGTGTTGCGTTTCTGCTTTAAGAATCCATTCTCCTAAACTGATTATTTAGAATTAAATGATTGTTCACTAAAATTATACAAATTTCATTTCAAAGGCTTAAAATAGCTGTTTTTAATATGGGAGTTTTAGTCAAACATGTAGAGAGTGCTGGAAACTCTGTGCATTTTTGTCTTTGAGTTCTAGTCTGGTATAAACACATCTAGAGAAAGTCATTGAAGTTGGGGGTCAGACTTCTGCTTGGAAAACTGAAGACATTTCCCTCTCCTGTCCTCTAAGAAAGATCACTCCACAGTGCATCATTTGTCTTTTGTAGGCATTTCTTGTCTTTATAACTTGACTTATGCTGCAGAAAAAAAAGTTTCAATTTCTAAAATGTTCATTTGGCTAAGCGATAGTGAGCTATACTTCCTTGCAGCCTGGTCTTCTCTTCTGATGGGAGATCCTGTTAAAGCTGGACAGAGTTCATCCAGCCCAACTCTCCCATCTTACAGAATTGAGCAAGAAATACAAAGTCAGCAAGGTGGTGATTTTTTTCTAGGTTGCAAAGGGACCCTGTCTAGAGCTCAGGCTCCTGCAGTGCAGGACTACAAGCTAATTCTATACCAGGGAGTGTAGTGTCTCTGCTTACCAGGGAGTGTAGTGTCTCTGCTTACCAGGGAGTGTAGTATCACTGCTTACCACGGTGTGCTCCATTGTGAAGTTCCCTTGCAGCAGCAGGCTGAGCCATCTGCTCCTTGAATGAAGGACTCCAATCTGTCATGCCTCAAATCCAGGGGATAAATTCATGAATTAGGGATCACAAGCCCAAGGGATGCTTAGATATGTCTTTTGTTGTTGTTGTTATTTTTGTTTTTGTTTATTTTCTTTTTGAGTAGAAGAAGCGTGCACGCGCGCGCGCACACACACACACACACCATGTGTGTGTGTGTGTGTGTGTGTGTGTGTGTGTGTGTTTCTCTCTGTGTATATGTGTCTGTGTTTCTCTGTGTGTCTCTAGTGTGTCTCTCTCTGTGTCTCTAGTGTGGCTCTGTGTGTGTGTCTGTGTGTGTGTGTGTGCTGTGTCGGTGTCTCTCTATGTGTCTCTCTAGTCTCTCTCTCTCTCTCTCTCTCTCTCTCTCTCTCTGTGTGTGTGTGTGTGTGTGTGTGTGTGTGTGTGTGTG